TTTATTTAAAACTTATAATATTTAATATATCTACTTATTTAATAACAAATAAAAATTAAATTAAAAATTTTTATAAAAAATTATCTCTATATTATTACTTTTTAATTTCTTTAGACAAATTAAAGTAATCAATAATTTTTATTGAATTAAAAAATAATGACATGATATTTACTTTAAAAATAACTAAAAAAATGATTTGAACCGAGAGAGTATAATCTTTATTAAATCTACTCGTTGATGAAAACAATAGAAAAAAGGATCTGTTGGTTTTTTACAACAGACTTAACCTTTGCATAGACGGCGTTACAAGGTCCGTTAATAGAGGGACAATAATTGATTCTTTTTGTAATAAAGGGATGAAATTACACCTTTAATTATACAAAGTTTGGGGATTTTTCTTGGCATTATACCTTCTCATGTGCATGTGGGGCTATAAACCCGTTACCATTTGACTTGCTTTTCCAGGTTTGTCGCGTTTCAATTATTGTCGTCGAATAGGTTTCCCCTGCTCTTTTCTAAACAGTTTCTAGGAAGGGGTAAAAATCCATTTGGGTGTTTCTACGAAGGCTCACAAGGGTCATAAATAAGGAGTTCTGGTGATGAAGCCATTCTTCATTATTAAAATCGCTTCTTCGCCATTTTTATAAACTCTCTTTTCTTCCATAACTTTGTTTCTTCTCTGCAAGCTTTAAGATCTTAATTTTCCAGGTACATATATATACATACAAGCAGTTAATTTCTACTATTTTCACTCATTCATTTGTTTGATGCATAAAGACAAATTAAGAAAATTTTTTTAACAATTTGTTATGGTAAATATGCTTTTGTTTCATAGATCAGATGTCTTTAACTAATTTCTCATAATTTAATTTTCTTACATATTTATTTTTCTCCTCTTGGTTTGATGACAGTTATTTTTGCACCGAAGTATCCTGCGCAAGGACTAAGGTAAGGAGCTAGGTTTGCCTGCTTTCTTGTTATTTTGATCGTACAATTTTTCAAGACCCGGTATACATGATAGATTTTTTCATATAAAAAATTTTAGAGTTTAATATATTTTACTTCTAAGAATCTCACCTTGTAAAATAAAATATATTGAGGAAAAAAATGTGTTACAATAAATTAAAGACGTTTAATAACACTTTCGTTTCTTATTTTTGGTTTTAATTTCATGCAAAAAAATTTAGCAACCATGACAACTAGAACTAGAAATCAACTATATACCAAAACCAAAAATAAAAACTGGTAATAACTCATTTAATAAGTCTCCAAAACAAACAATCAAATTTGA